CTTTACTTTGTTTGAATTATACTATAGTTATATTCAAATCTAAAGATATCTAATACTTATGCATAAGTATTGAAAGTTATTGAATATGGAGTTTTATTCAAATTTGAACAAGTTGAGGATTGTTGGAAATGGTTGGTCAAAATGTATTAATTGAGCTTGGAATGATTAATGGTGGTAGAGGCCAAAATTTTTTGCCTATGCGACCGCATAGACTAAAGGTCAACAGGGATTAAAATCCTTGTATCGAGCCCTTCTATGTGACCGCATAGAGTATCATACTTCTGAGGGCTATAAATAGGTGATCCTAGGTCATTTGAAGTGTGTAAAGAAAGATATTATTGAAAATAAATCATTCCAAAGCAATAAAACTCGATTCTTTGCTTTCTTATTCAATTCTCCTTTTGTGTTTCCAAGTTTGGGTAGAATTACATCTTGTGCTTTGTAGTAATATTGCAAAAAGGCTTGATTACTCCTACAAACCGTTTGTCGAAAACCCTTAAGCGTCTCAATCAATCCGGAGATAGGACAAATTTAGTTTGAGGATAGACATCACGCGTTCGAGCCTTCCATATTGTTCGGTGTTTTGTTCGTGATTTGATTCATAATTGTTGTTGATTTTGGTGTGCTTTTTCTTCAACTCTGGTGTCGTTTTCAACATTCACTTGATGACTACTAGTTAATTTATAAATCCTTACCAAACGTATACGTTATTCAAATAAGTTGCAAGATGTCCACCCCATCGCCGCTCTTATCCGATCTCTCGTGTTTCTATTTTATACTTTAAAATTTAAATTGTAGTTAAAAAATGTATTTAGGTTAAGGGAAATATCTGGGTGAAAATGGGGATATTTAAATTTACGTCCCACTTCTCGAAATTTCTAATGAGGTGAGGGACAAAGAGGGCTAGTTGATCTCGTTGTCATCCTTACATCTAATGTTCCTTATAATAAAATTGACTCTTTAATAATCAAATTGGTTGTTTTGTTATGAAGGATGATTCTCGCCCAATTTTTATAAGTTGCTCCGTTGTCATAGGAGATTCTCTACTTTTAAAAAACATATTTTACAATTTAGAAAGTATTTATAAATTTAGAGGGTAAAAATTTTTAAGTACTAGACCATATTCTTTACATTTAACACTTAATTTTACTACTCCAAAAAAATATTTATTATTTTTGCTCATCTTTTATTTTCATTGACTTTCCTCCAAATTATTATATTATTTTCCTCAATTGAAAATTGAACTACCTTGAATGCATTTAATTATGGAAAATATGTTTGGTTCTTTAAATTTAAAGAGTCAAACTTATTCTTTAAATTAAAATATTAATTTAAAGAGAATCACAATTTTAAAGATTGACTCTTTAGAATAGAGATCATCTTATATTTAAAGAGTACGAGGACTATAACTTTTCTTTTGAATCAGCATTTATTTTTTAACAACTCGATGCGGCCTTTGATATTTCTTGACATAAATAACAAAAATTAGATATTAAGGGTAATCTTGGTTATTGACTGCCTCAATTTTCAACAATTTTGTTAAATAAATGGGTAATTATATTCACCTCACAATTTTTATTTTTTACACTACATTTTAATAATATTTAAAGTTCTCAATCTTTACTCGTTAGTATTTATGTTCAGGGCTTTTCTATTATTAAATTTTTCATTACTTAACACATTTTGTATTTGATAGCAGTTTATATCCAAAAAGTCCGTTGAAATCGTGTACAACAACTTTTTGTCCATCATACTTTTAAAAAATATTTTTCCCTCATTTCAAAACATGAAAACAAAATATTTTGACATAAGTCATCGTTAAGGATGAGATATATTAATTAATGGAAAGTTGAAAGTAAGAATTTCAAATGAGAGAAATTAAGAAAATAATTACTACTACGAGCAAAAATTTGAAGAGTTTAACTGCAATTAAAATATGATGTAACAAATAAAAATTATAGTGCCAATATAACCGTCCTAATATAAGAAATGGCTTGACGATCAATATAACCGTCCCATCTGATTTATCACATTTTTAATATAAGAATTCAATAAAACTAGTTGTACAAATATGATTTGCACCAAGTGTTGTCAAAATTCGAACATTTGATATAAAAAATAGTTTTTAAAATGGATGAATGTGATACTGTCAAGTAAGATGTTGTCAACCAATATTGTCAACAAATATTGTGCAAGTACCATGATTCAAACTCTGTTTTTTGTATAGAACTAGCTCGATTTTCGTAATCTACATCTATATTGTAATTAAAAAAACAATTGTATAAACACTAATTCAACAACATAAAGCTCCAAAATTTCCAGGAAAAAAAAAAAAACCTAATTCTGATCTGTGAGTGAAGAATGTGCACTACCAGATTCAGATATTCCAAGGCAAAAGCAAGCAACATATGAGATTCCGTAATCCACATAGCAACTCAATCAGCCAATCAAATATCAGAGCCCATTCATCAAAATATTAAATGTAACACAACTTAGCTCTTCAACCCCTTTGAATCATCATGTTTAACAACTCACTAGCTTCATTTGTCTTCCCCTCCTTACAAAGCGCATCTATCAATATATTAAACAATATTACATCAGGACGAATGTCTTGATCCACCATTTCAATGAACAACAGCTTTGCCTCCTCCCACTCATTGGCCTTGCAAAAACCACGAATTAAACCACTATATGTAACCAAGTCTGGCATAATTCCCCTATCCTTCATCTGCAAAAACAATTGTTTACCCTTGTTCAACAGCCCCTCTTTACAGAGGCCACCAATAAGCGTGTTATAACAAATCAAATCAGGCCTACAATCAGACCTTCCCTTCCTGTTCTCCAATTCTTCGAGCATCCGTAGCGCCACTTCAGAATTTCCAATCCTACATAACCCCTTAAACAATGAATTGAAAGTAACAATAGTTGGATTATACCCCCTCTTAAAAACTCCACTCATAACAGCAAGACCAAGATCAACCCTATTCAAGCAACAGTAACAATTGAATAAAACATTAAGTGTACTAATATCCGGCAATACATCATATTCAACCATCCTCTGGTACATAAAAATGACATCTCGATAATTCTTGGTTTTGGCAACAGAGCCCAGCAACTTGTTAAATAACGAGATGGGTGTCGAGNNNNGTTAAATAACGAGATGGGTGTCGAGGGTTTCAAGTTGAGCCTAGTATAAAAGGAGATAAATGCATAGTTGGTACGGTCGGTTTTGATTTTTTGACGAGGGGTTGGGATTTCGAATTGTGTCGGGCATTTTAGTTGGTGCATAAATTTTGATGGAAGGATACCTCGTTGGACACTTCTGGAAGCCATCTCTGAAGCGCCACACATCTGCACTTCCATTTGAGACTAAAAGTATAACAGCCAACAAGACCAAAAAAATATATAGCTAGAAATTGCAAATTGTGTCAGAAATAATATCTTCCCACTTTCCAGTGTTTACATAACCCATTTCATATTTTTAAGAAAAAAACTAAATTGTACCTTTCAAGGAAAGAAATTTCATGTTGCTTTCATTAGCACCCAACTGTATCATCACAACTTTCCAGCTTATTCCTGAAACCAGGTTCAAGAATTCCATACCTCAAATCTCATTAACACTCAGTCTTGGGTTTATATAATCCATCGTCACTAAAAGGATTTAAGTTCATCTTAGAACTGTCATCCCGCGTCACAGAATGAATCATGGGTGAACTGAGCATTCAAATGAAAAACTTAAGATTTGAACGTTCAGATCACAGACTAACTTGCATTGCTACTACCGATATTGTAGAAGTGGATGTCAGACTAAAAGTATAACAGCCAACAAGACTAGAAAAATATATACTAGAAATTGCAGATTGCCGACTTAGACGATTATCATCCATGGTGTAATAACTATACCACAGAAAGAGAAGCTTCAAATCCTCAAGCCTATATTCCATGCTTTACAACCATTTTTCTGGAAAAACATCAAAAAGGGGTTAACGTGACATTGTCAGGGCTCGTCCAAATCTTCAATTTGTGGATAGGAAATGCTAAACTATCAAACCAGCAAGTTATTATAGTATCACCTGAGGATATTTCTATGTTACTTCAATAGATAATTTTTTGCTTTCCCAAACTATTCTCAACAAGATGAGCTCGATACAACTTTCACATCAGTGGAGAGCTAGAAAGTTTTAGAACCTCAAATCTGCAGATTAAATATGGTCCTGATTTGCTATTGAAATGGGTTGGAAGATCTCAACGACAACAAACAGAATTGTAAAATCTAGGATTAGAAGAAATTGATTTGGGCAGAATGGAACAATTATGTATCCTTTTGTGTATTTTCTTGTACCGAATTTGAACAAACAAATACAACGGAAATGAAATAAAATTACGAGGAAACCCAAATTTTCGATAGGCTGGAACTCTCCAATTCAGAATGACAATAACAGAACGCATACATCCTTACAATTATTGACGCCTACTTGTTTTATTAAATAAATTTCCCAAACGACCCCTCCCCTTACATTAACTTATTGAATGTAAATATTCGCATGTCGATTCCTATCAAGTTACTCGGAATCAAGTCTAGATAATCCGAATAATTTGGAATGCGGGGTAAAATAACTCGAACTAAATACATTGTGTTTTCATCTGGGGAGATATTTCTCTCACTCATTTTCACAAGAAGTTCAACCACTTTTGATATCTCGTTAAGATTGCAAAATCCTCGCATGAGCGTGTTAAAATTGACCACAGAGGGTGAACAACCTTCCTTTTCCATCTTCATAAACCAATTATTTGCCATTTCCATATTTCCATACTTAGAAAAGCCATCAATCATGATGTTATATGTAAAAACTGTTGGTTCCAAACCCTTATGAGACAGGTTTTCAAATAGCTCACTCGCTAAATCAAACTTTTGTGCTTTACACAATCCATCAAGGATACAATTATAGGTGCTAATGCGAAGATTAAGGCCGGATCTTTCTATAGTATGAAACAGCCCCATTGCTTCTGCAAGGCAATTATTTTTGAAAAAACCATTCAATAATATATCATAAGTAGCAGAATCCAGAGTGACTTCATGGACTTTCATCTTTGCAAAAAGTTCCTGTGCATCCTCAACTTTACCAACACGAAATAGACCGGTCAACAAAGTATTGAATGTAATAATATTTGGCTTGTATTCTTTGCGTGCCATTTCTTCGAAAAGCCTCATCGCCTCTTCCAATTTCTGATACTCGCAATACCCATTAATTAACATGTTGTAGCTTACAACATCTGGCTTATAGCCTTTAACCTCCATCGAAACAAACAATTCCCTTGCATTATCAATCCTACCCTCTACGCAGAGCCCATTCATCAAAATATTAAATGTAACACAACTTGGCTCTTCACCCCTTTGAATCATCATGTTTAACAACTCCCTAGCTTCATTACTCTTCCCCTCCTTACAAAGCGCATCTATCAATATATTAAACAATATTATGTCAGGACGAATGTCTTGATCCACCATTTCAATGAAGAACAGCTTTGCCTCCTCCCACTCATTGGCGATGGAAAAAGCACGAATTAAACCACTATACGTGACCAAGTCTGGCATAATTCCCCTATCCTTCATCTGCAAAAACAATTGTTTACCCTTGTTCAACAGCCCCTCTTTACAGAGGCCACCAATAATCGTGTTATAACAAATCAAATCAGGCCTAAAATCAGACCTTCCCTTCCTGTTCTCCAATTCTTCGAGCATCCGTAGCGCCACTTTAGAATTTCCAATCCTACATAACCCC